GAAATGAGGCTCACCTCCCCTGTGGAGTAAAGCAGCCTCCATGTCTCCAGCAGCAGGATCACAAGGCTTCCCTGCTCGGATCTCAACTCGAGGAAGAAAAATTCCCCTTCTGAGACCATCTTCAAATGGCAGGTTTGTCTCCACATCAGCCTTTTTATAGCTCATCCAACTCACCACGCCCACTCACTACGTACAACATGCACCAATCAAGTCCAAGCACTTAATCGGATTAGGAAGCCTTAGGGCGTGTGCTCTGGAATTCCCCAGATAATCCGATCAGCACCCTCCCCATTACTCTTTGTAGAACACCTGTGGCAGATTCAACTATCAGGATCCTGCATAAATATCCTCAGAGTGGGCCAGGGCTGGGCTGGTGGGCATATATTTGTCTTAGCTCTTTGAAAACAATAATGGAGGAACATTAGTTATTAAGGAAGAAGTTGGACTCACACTTCCTGATTTTAATTCTTCCTACAAAGCTACAGTTACTAAGGCAGAATGACACTGGTGTGAGATCAGACATAGAGACCAAGGGAAAAGAATAGATGGCCCAGAAATGACCCTCCTTCTATGGTCAATTGACGTGAATGATTGGTACAAAGATATCAACACCTTTCAGTGTGGAAAGGATGGTATTTTCAAAAAATGCTGCTGTGAAATTTAGATTTCCCCACTCAGCCCTCAACTTACAGAAAGATGCTTCCCCTTCTCAGACTTCAAATTGCAGCGTTAGTCATCTCGTCCGCACTTTCATGGCTCATGCCTCCCACCACAGCCAGCACACCCACTCACTAGGTAAAAGGTCAACAATCAGATCTAATCTATTAATAGCCTCAGGGGTTTTACAGCGGGGAGAGAATCCCATGGGACTTATCCACATTACTATTTATTGAACACCTAAAGCATATTTAGATATCAGTATTCTCTATAAATACCCTGAGAGTACCACTGAGTTGGGGTGATGGGTTTCCCTCTGTCTGGCTTCTTCCAAAAGAAAGGGAAGGAATAACATGGGAAGAAGTGACATGTGTATCCCTCTGTGTGTGTGTGTGTGTGTTCATCCATACTTTCATGCATTTAATCTGCAAAGTACTAAAATGCCTTACGATACTGAATAAGAAGAAGTTGGACCCATCCTTCCTGATTTTATGTCTTACTACAAACTACATTAATAAGTCAATGTGTTACTGGCATAAGATCAGACCTAGAGAACAAAGGTGCAGAATAGGTAGTCCAGATATAACCCCTGCAATCTGTGGTGGACTGGTTTGAGTGACTGATACAAGGGTATCAAAACTTTAAGGGAGAAAGCACAGTCTTTACAAAATATGGTGTTGTGAAACTTAGATATCCACAGGAAACCCCAAAAGTTGGACCTTACACAAAATGCTACACAAAATACTAAAATTTATCTTGAAATTGATGAAAGACTAAATGTACAAAGTAAACTATGAAACAATTGGAAGATCACATGGGAAATGTGTTCATGGAATGAAATTTCTGGGGATTTCTTGGATAAGACACCAAAGAACAGGTATCAAAAAAAATAACTAAATTAGGGGTTTTCAAAATTAAAACTTTTATTCATCAAGGCCACTGTAAAATGAGTGACAATAAAACACACAGGATGGGAGAAAATATTTTCCAGATATGTATGTGATAAAGGAACAGTATCCAGAATATTAAAACTTTTCTGCAACATAAAAAAAGAAATTAAAAGCAAAAAAAAAAGTATAAAAATAGGCGTTTCTTTAGAAAAGATATACAATGGCCAATGAATTCATAAGGAGATGTTCAACATCGTTATTTATTAGGGAAACACTTATCAAAATACAATGAGATAATGCTCTGCCACTGTGAGGGTAGCTAGGATTAAATCAGTCAATCAATCAATCAATCAGAGCAGAGATTAAGAAGTGTTGTTCAGGATGTAGAAAAATGGAATCTCTATACATTGGTATTAAGAAAGAGAAAATGATGAAATTCTTGTGCAAAACAACATGACCATTCCTCACAAAATTAAACACATAATTATCGCATGATGCAGAAACGTCACTCCTATGTATATAGACAAAGGATTGAAAAGCAGACACTCAAAGAAGTATTTGTGCATGTTTGTTCATACTATCACAGTTCACAAAATCAAGGATGAAAACAACCCAAATATTCAACAGTGGATGAATGAATGAAAAAAATGGGGTGTTTGTGTGTGTGTCATGTAACATCATTTGGCCTTAAAAATACATGAAGTTGTCTATTTTCAGGTTGCTAATCGGGGAGAAATGGTGGAAACAAAGCTTCTATCAACCAATATTAGAGGGGTGAAAACAGCGTTCACTGTGTCTGTACAAATAAGTAGATGATGGAAATGAAAATGCAGGAAACAGAGCTCCGTCTGGCTCTCCAGAGGCATTTTAGGAATAATTCTTTGAGGCACAAGGCAAGGTGAAAAATCGGCCAGTCACCAAAGGACAAATACTTGAGGATTCATGGCATATGAGTTTTCTAGAGCATTCTCATCCACAGTGACAGAAAGGAGAACTGTAGTTTGGAAGGACTTCCCAGAGGGAAAATGTGGAGTTAAGGTTTGAAGTTTACAGAATTTCAGTTGGGAAAATGAGCAGTTGCTGAGATGGATGGTGGTTAGGGTTACACCTCAAGGTGAATGCACTGAATGTCACAGAATCACAAATGGAAATACAATTAAAATGCTGCATTTTATATTAAGTACATTTTAGCACAATAAAAATGCAAAGTACAACATGAAATAGGTGTAAATACAAATATTTATTTCTCTTACACAAAATATATGTTCTTAAAACCCTGCAGGTATACCAATATATGTGTTTAAAAAATACTTCAAAATAGTAAACAACAGAATGCATTGTTTCCAGAGACCATTAATTGAAATGTAATTGGATTAAGTTTATTGGGTTAGGTCACGCCTGCAACTGCCCACCACGCAACTGTATAAAAGTCAGTGTGGACAGGAAGCGTCCCTCAGTGCCCCTGCCCAGGAGTACCAGCTGCTGCATCTCACCCAGAGGAGATTTTCCAGCATGGACTCAACTCCTCTGAAATCCTACTGAGGGACAGGAGGTGAACACTTGGATTTCAGGTTGGTTTCTTTCACCAATTTATTTTTCAGACTATACTTCAGAAAAATACTAGAGTAAAAAATATACAGATATAACATTGTGGTTTTAACTTGTGGGGTAAGGGTTTTTGTTCTTTTTAATTGTATTTCTTTGAAAAGAGACTAAAATGTTCAGTTTAATGTCAATTATTTCATAAAAATTTACATTCCTAAGGAAATATACCCAGCCCACTGACTTTGTGGGTAAACAGATAAACAGTTTTGGAAAGCTAGTGGTTTTGGCCATGAATATGTGAAGCCTAAATATTTCATTTGCTCATCATTTATTCAAACATATTCATTATGCATTCATTTGAAACTAGATAGATAGTGGGGTTCTGAAGATAGAGTAGTAATTGAAAGACTGTAGACCACAAACTTCCAGTTTAGTAGGAAAATAAAAAACATTTGCATGGGATTTTGTGTTTGGAAACTGTATATTTTAATGTCAAAATGACAATTCAAATTTTAATAGCTCATTGTTAAACTGATGAGATTGTCAGCTAAAGAGAAAGGGAATCCACACAAAAATTTACAGCAGTTGCAGAGAGAGAATGAAGAGCTGAGCTCAGGAGCCTGGTGGTGTCATGGTGCAACATCAGAGGTTTTCCATCCACTGTGTTCCTGGTGATTACTGGGCACGTTCCCCAACCTCCCGCCATAGACTCCAACCTTCTTTATTTTGCCAGAGAGTTTTTAATTTCAAAAGGGTTGTTAATTCTGACTTCAGGATTTTTGTGTCTGGCCATCTGAGGGAAGTTTAGATGAACGTGAAAAAGGAAATTTTATGGATTCACAATTAGGAATAGTCAAAGGGAAACTTGACTTATGATTCTGCAATTAGTCTCTTAGGGGACACAGGCACTAAATAAAGTTGCAAACAGACAGATTAATGTATAGTGATATATTAGAAACTAGGTCAAGATATCTTTTACCTACTTATCTTATGTTAAGAGCTTAAGATGTTTGGACAATTTTCCCCAGGAGATTCATTTTAAACTGTAATTCGCATGAAAAAATACATACGATTTTACTATTTAAAAAGTGTAGCTGGACTTCCTTATCCACCCACTTCTGTGGATTCAACCAATTGCAGACTGAAAATGTTCAGAAAATAAAATTTCCACAAAGTTTCAAAAAGCAAAAGTTGAATTTACGCTGCAACTGTGAGTACTATGTTGAATCCACACAAATGAAGTGCGGTGTAAGCATGTTATTACGTATTATAAGTAATCTAGAGATGATTAAGAGTGTTTGGGTCGATGCGCAGAGGTTATATGCACATTTGATATTAGAAACGTGAGCATCCACACGTTTATATCCCCAGGGCATGTAGAACCAATCCCCCAAGGATACTAGGCAGGACTGTACAAAAGAATCCCGCAGAGAATTATTATCCTGCCCATTTAATGAACAGGCTGTGATAGAAAGTGAATATCGCTAACACGAAATCCTACTGGATCGGGGATGGCTCAGGGTGGAGGACGTGTAGCACCGACTTTGAATGGCGGAGCCTGGTTCCGGTGGTGCCCCGCTATGATTGAGTTGTGCGGACGCCTTCCCCATGCAGGCCCCTCCCATTATGCAATCCGCAGCACAACCCAATCACACCGGCCCTGCTGGCCAATCTCCGGGCTCCGTGCCTTCGTAAGGACTCTTAAAGGACTTGCCCGAGACCTCGCTCTCAGAGCACTATTCAACCTGCCACAGGCAGGGAACACTCTCCCCCGCGCCCTGGCTGTGTGTGCCGAGCTGGGAGCTGACATTCCTCCTTCACTTAAGGCACAGATCAAGGCACAGTTTTTCAAGAACTAGGATAAAGACTGAGGTTGGCCGATATAATCCCGTGCACAGAACCTTTACCATGTATGGTTACCGACGCCCAAGAAGCCCCAGCGAGTCCTGGACAGGAACCGAGGACGACGATGCAGGAGAGAGCAGGTGTGTTTGAGTGTGTCTCTGCCTCGGGGTACCAGTAGGTTGACGTGTGACTGTGTGTGTGTGTTTGTGTGTGTGTGTGTGCGTGCATGCGTGAATGTGTGCTAGACAGCCACGCTGGGGCAGAGATGGCATCCTGGAATGCCGTGACATTGAATGTTCTGAATTAGGATAGCAGGGGAGGCACCAGCCCTGCAGAGTCAGCCACCTGCTCTGGCCAGGGTGGGTGCATTTCTGTCAGTGGCCTTGTCTCGGGGTGCCCCGCACTGTCAATCCACGTCTCCTCTCTAAATGGAAGTTGTGTCTCCCACGTGTAGAAAGGACTAGTGCGGGCATGATCTAAGGGTTCTACCTCCTGCTCCCTAGGAGAGGCAAGCATTCCCACCATCTCTACTCCATTCACACTGTAACTGCATAGATGCAGGGGTCAAATACCCGGAATAACAATGTTTTCCACTAAAGTCCACAGACCAAATGACATGTCCCCCTTCTCATGTGGGTGAGCTCCTGAGGTAGTCAACTGCTTCTTGTGGTCACCACCCTTTATCACATGCCACCCCCAACTCAGGGAAGACCCTTTAGAAGGGCCGAGGGTGGGAGGTGGGCTTTAGGGCACCAGGTGGGTGCCTATTTGGAGTTGAACGGAAGTGCATGTGGCCGTGGGCCACGGTGGGAATGTGGGCAGGATGACAGATGCAGCTGTGGGCTGTGAGAAGTGGTCTCTCTGTCACTGTGTGGAAGCCTCACTGGTCCCCCTCTGTCCTGCAGCTTGACTCCTGGACAACTGAATCCACCCAAACGTCAGCACCTGGAGCACCTGGAGTGTCCCAGGACAGGTAAGACATTTTCCCTGCTTTTCCTGGAGTTCCCACTGCCCAGAACCTACAGTAATGAAAGGAGAGGATGCTTCCTCCAGGGTGAGGGAAAAGGCATCCTTGGTCCTCGTGGGCAGGTGTTCTGTGGGTGGCCTCTGCAGGGGTTTGGCTTCCTACAGGTCACACTCTTAACTCTGGATCCTGCAGAACCACAGCCTTCTCCCTCGCTCTGCTGTCTCCACAGGTGCAGAAACACCTCCAGTTGAAGGAGCTCCTCACTTGGACTCATGCCAGCCCCTGGAACCACCCCAGGTAAGTTCCTCTTTCCTGGGTGGCAAAGATTGGACATTACTGCCTAAAATCCAGGCTCCAAGGGGCATGCAGGGGGTGCACATTCAAGGATAGTCAGCATGAGAGCAAACTGTGGGAGGGAATTGGTCTTCTAAAGTAGTAGAGGGTAGAGTTTCTGGTGGGTCCCTCCCCATCAGCACCACCTGTAGCCTGGTTTGAAGTTAGAGCACTGTCTCTCCACAGGAGCAATGTGAGTCCAGCACAGAGGTGCTCATGGTGGTCCTGGAACCAGGGACAGGGCTGCACCTGAGCCTGGGAGAAGAAGTCATCATCGTGGCCCCACAGACAGCCCTGCAGATGACCCTTGGCAATGTGATCCTGGTGGTGGTCCCTGAGCATGTCCTCAGGTCAGTGGAAGGTCTGCAGTTACCCGTGGAGACCCACTGCATCTTGCCCTGTGCTGCTGATGTCACCTGGGAGTTCCACGTTCAAAGTGGAGACCCTCTGGCCATGGGAGCAGAGGAGATGGTTGTCCTGCAGGTAGAAGAGGAGGCTGCTCCCCCCAACCTCCAGCCCTTGGTGAGGCCCCCAGGAAACCAGGTTGCTGGGATCAGCCCTTCTCTCCTGATGACTCCGTTCTATGTTCCTTGCTTCCTGATGGCTGCCCCCTGGCGCTTCCCCCTGCCACCCACTCCCAGTCCCACGAGACTCCCTCGGCCAACCGACTGCAGCTTCAACCTCTGTGGTCTGGAGCCTGTGCCCAGCTCTGCCCTCCGACCTCTGCCCCCTTCGCCAAGCCCAGGGCCCCCGATGTGCCGCAAGGTTCACTTTAGACCTCCCAGCAGAGCACGGCGATGTCTGTTCCCAAAGTGATGGACCCCAGAGTTTCGCTGAGTCAGGGATTGATTGAGTCCCTGTTAGTGCACCCCCACAACGTGGAGGGAGAGTCGCGCCAGTGACATTTGCTTCTCCCTGGCTGTGACCTCCCATCATCCCTTGTTCTGGACGTCAGAGGGCCCCACACACTGCAGGGAGGGGGAACTTCAAGGACTTAAGATAACAGCTATTGCGTTGATGGATACCGCAGTTACCCTGATTTGATTAATTCACGTTTATGCCTGTATGAAAACATCACATGTACCCTGTGAATACTTATGACTGTTATATATCCATAATAATTAAAAATAAAACATTTTTAAAAACATTCGGGCTGTTGATTGGAGTCTGTGTGACTGCTCTGTCTTGCTTGAGACCTCAATGTGATTTAGACTAAATGGTCTTCATAATGGAAACACTACACACGCATTTAACTAAAAGTTATGATACACCTCGACTACAAGGATAACATGAGGAGTGTTGGGTGTGTGTCCTGGTGAAGGGTGGATCTGCGGTGTAACTAGCAGTATATGGGACAGGAAAGGAAAAATTCACATAAAAATGAAACACCAGGAAGTGAAAAATGAGGATGTTACTTATCAATAAGAAGAAAGATCTAGAAGAATTGAAATATTTCAAAGCACTCTTGGACATTCATAAGTCAAGAATAGCCCCTGACCTGGCCCCGGCTTTAGAAGGACCCACTGTGGCAGAAATGATCAAACCTCCCATTTCTGGTACCTACTTGGCTTCAATTTCCTGAAAAATGTCACCGAACCCCTTCCAAAATTTGCAACGGCTTTTCTGGGCTGCTCCTCCCAAGTCCAGACTGGGAGCCAGTGTTAGCACCCGTAGTCCTACGAGTTGGCCTGGCTGGACCTTAGCAAGGGTTTGGACAGAGCTGGGGCCCAAATTGAGACCTGTGTGCAGTGCTTATCATACTCAAATATGCGCGAACTTCACTCAGAGACATTGTCCATATGCACATTTTGATGCGCCAGGGCTGGCTTTTATTTCTGGGTTCTGTATTTCAACAAAGCTCTAGGACCTGCAAGGATCTGGTTATTCTCAGGTAAACAGACTTTGACAATTACGACTAACAAGAAATTGATTGAGATGTTTGATAAGCAAAGCACCTATTTGATCTGCCATATTACGATGACTTTTATTAACATTGAAACAGATTATAAAAAGATGCGTTACAATAAAGTTTAATAATGAATATACCACATCAAGCGAATATCCTCCATAAGTGTTTTCAGTGAAACACTTCCATAGATAAAGACTCTTCTTTCAGGACAGGAAACAGCTTAAAAAATGCAGGTCCCAAAGGTGAGTTCTCTATGGAGAGTTTCCCAAATTTCAGTCACTGACACATCAAATACAGATTGATCGCACACCTTCCAATTTAAATCACAGGTTAATACATTCCCTCGTGTTTCTATTCAGTTTATTATAAATGTAACTTAATTAAAATAATTTACATGCTAGTTTGATAAGTTTCATTTTACATACAATTTGAGTTTACTCAATTCCATCAGGAAATGTCTGTGGGTCTGTGTCCAGCATGGCCTGGAGTCCCACCATCAGCACAAGCTCCACAGCTGGGGAAGGTGATTCCCCAGACACAGGCTGCTCCCTCCACGGTCCCCTCCTCAGCCCAACAGTCCCCTCCCAGCCCATGAGGCTGGAGGCCGAGTCTCCTTCCACCTGGTGTCTCACTCCAAGTCACTGTCCTCAGAGGATGAGGAAAGCCGAAGGTCCTCATACAGCACACTCAGTGGGACCTGGGCACAGTGACCCTCAGACTTCTCTGGGACTTGAGGGCTCTGAGCGGGAGGGCCTGGCTTCTCAGGAGGGAGGCAGGAGGGAGCCAGCAGAAGCCTGGAGCTCAGCATCCACTGTCCAGTCTCCTGAAGGCCATCCTGATGGGCTGGCCTGGAGCAGGGCTGGGTGAGGGGAGACGGGGCTCAGTGCAGCCCTGGACAGGGTTCAGGAGAGGTCTGTGCTGTGGAGGCTGCAGGTCAGTGCCAGCTTTCTGGTCCAGTTTCCTCCTGCTGTCTTGCGGTGCTTCTTTCAGTCCAAATGTATTTATACTGAGTGGAGACTGAGGGGTCTGGAGACCCCCAACTCAGCACTCTGAGTGTATTGCAGGGTAAGGAAGGGCTGAGTCCGAGTTTATTTAGGGATTCTGACAAATCTGGGTGTGGATTTGGGCAGATCTCTTGCCTCCGACTTGAAGCTGACTTTGGGGTCCTGGATCATCTGGGGTCGAAGGCCACCTAGGGAACTTCAAGGGAACAACCATGAGGTCCATTGTCTGTCATAGTCTCAGGAGGTTAACGTCCTGGGGAGAGTGCAGGGATGTGGACAAGGGTGTCAGGGGTGGACACTTGCAGTTTCTTATTTTGTCCAGAAGCTTGAAGACAGCCTCAGCTCAGGTCTTCTTGTGGGAGCCACTGCAGGGCAGATGGGCTTCATGGCCGTGTCTTTACCGGTGAAAACAGGGTCAAGGACAGATTTTATCTCGTTCATGTGGGGAGAGATTGACCTGGGAAGGTACTGCTGCAAAGACACCTAAATATAACATCAATTCAGATTTCCTGTATATCAAGTGAAAGAGGAAACTCACCAAATAAAACGGCATGGGTCATGTAACAGAAGAAATGGCTTGCAAAATGGCTGGCAAAAATGTTTTATGTCCCTTTAAAATATCCCTCTGCATCCCTGCCTCAGGTCAGTGGTGTGGAGGGGAAAGGGAATGTGTTTTGTTCTTTGTGCTGTAGGAAATGGCTCAAGGGAGTTGTCTGGGTGGAGGCCACGAGACCACCTTAGGTGAAGATTGGATTAATCTGGCCAAGGTCATGAGATCGTCCTAGTTGAAGATGGGATTGACCAGAACCCTTAAAATCTCTGTACTTCTGCTTAGAGGGGGGATGCGGCGAATTTGAGACAGGAGTCTGCCAGTCTCCTCATTTTCTGGCAAATTAATAGTCTCCTCTTTCCTTCTCCTAAAACCACTTTCCACATTCTTCTGATGTGGCCTCAGGAACAAGTGCCGAATTTTCTGTAACAGTCACACAAAACAGGCAAAGAAATACTAATGATCATTTTGATGGGGAAAGCATCTCAAATTTGTGAAGAGAAAACAATTTAGAATAACAAATTCATAAATTTTCTCCATCAGATTGAAGATTATGACAGTTTTTTATATCATGCCCTGTTAAATAAGTTGAAAGAAGCACTTTTATTCAGGGTTTTACGGAATAAATATGAATGTTTTCAAGGCAGTTTCATAGGATTGTGTTTTCCTGGAAGGTCTGGGAATATTTATCAGATGCCTTTAGGAGGCATCTGACAAAATCACATCCATATGCCTCTCTAGTACGTTGTTGGCACACATACAGACAATTGTACAACTGCAAAGAAACAGATGAAAACTGACACCAGAAGAATAAGCAAATGGAAACTGAACCCCACAGTCTAGAATGGAATCATTATCTGGGTCTTCACACCAAAGCAGAAGGGAAGGGGGCAGATCTGGGTCACTGACTGGTGAGGTGGGCCAGGGACCTGGCACTAGTCTTACCCTCAGATAAGGGAACAATTCTGTCAGTTCCATCCAGTTTTGCTTCTCAAGGAAAACTGGCAGATAATGTCTAATGATCGAGGTGGCAGTCAGGACAATTTTTTTGGTTTTTGAGACAGAGTCTCACTCTGTTGCCCTGAGTAGAGTGCCATGGCATCAGCCTAGCTCACTGCAACCTCAAACTCAAGCAATCCTACTGCCTCAGCCTCCCAAGTAGCTGGGACTACAGGCGTACGCCACCATGCCCGGCTAATTTTTTTATATATATATTTATAGTTGTCCAGCCGATTACTATATTTTTTTTTAGTAGAGACAGGGTCTCACTCTTCCTCAGCAGGTCTCGAACTCCTGAGCTCAAACAATCTGCTCGCCTCGGCCTCCCAGAGTGCTAGGATTATAGGCATGAGCCACCACACCCAGCCAAGGACAACATTTGAAGATATGAATAACATGTAGTCGAAACCCCAGGGAGGAATTATTCCCAAGGCCTTTGCATCTCCATAAAAACTTCCATCACTAAGTTAGCAAAGGGCCTCTCATCCCCAATTTCACAGATTCTCTCCAACCCCAAAGGGCCACGAATCCAAATACTCTCTGCATCAAAATCCAAAGTCTGACCAACGGCAGGGGGCATGCACAAACCCCTGCAGTCTCCTCTTGTATACCACCCACATCAACCATGACATCAATATGATCAAGACAACCAGAAAACTCGTGCCCTCCTTCTTGCTACCTCTGGTCCTCCTTCCCAGAGAGGGGACTTTATTAGTGCTCAGGGACACCTGGTCTGTCATGTCCCTGACTGGTTTGTGCAGCAGGTAGTTGTCCTGCTCAGCATGATTCTTTTTCATCTCGCTCCTGGACTTCAATTGATGACACATGACTCCATTGGAAGGCAGGGTAGATTCTATTTTTCTGAAGTTGAATTCAGGCTCTGGTAGGTTTTGTTCCTGGAGGCATCGCCTCCAATGTAAGGAGAGTTCTCTAGTTGTTTTCCCGAAGTGCACCTCCAACTCAGGAACCTTGATGCAGGAGACCCTGTTGAGCTCCCCTTGGGTTGCTCCAATATCTGTGTCTTCAGCCCCAAGGGCTCTTGGTTTCTCTTCTATTGATGCACGCCCACCGTCCCTTTCCAATTCACTCTTCTGGATGTAAAAGAGGATGTAGGCCTGCTGACTCAGGACAGAAGAAATGTCACAGGCGATTACCTTAGCATCATCCATTTTCCACCACTGGCCATTCCCAGCTTTTACGTAGCAGAAGTAATGTCCACTTTCACAGCTCCTCCCAGCGTGGACCAGCACAGCATAGAGGAGGTAAAGAAGGGGTCCTCCTTTCTGCTGAGACATGTATGGTCGCATGTCAAGACACTCGGGATATTGCACTTCTTTTGCAATTTTGTTGCCTGTGATATCTGAGAACCTTTTCAATACAAGGATCAGGACCTTGGAAGCAGTGTGCAAATTCAAGGACTTGGAAGCAGGTACCTTCTTTAGACAACTACCGCAATGATAGGCATTCTCTCCATCCAGGTGTTCGGGCTTCACCAAATGTTGCAAAGCTTGGCTCACACTCGGAGCTGCTTCGATATCCAGGGCAATGTCCATGTAAGGGTCAAAGGTGTCTGAAATGCCATGGCAATGGAGACACTTGATTTGAGACCTCCAGTATCCTCCAAATATTTTATGGATTAGGGTTGTGTCCTCAGAGTGACCATCTAAGGGCTTCTGCCCAGACAGACAAGCTTTCTTCATGGCAGCCACAGTGAACATTAGAAACTCATGGGCATCTTCCTGCTTGTATCTATGGAAGCCAGCAGCCAGTGCATGTGAGGGCTTAAAAACATTTCCAGGATGCTGCAGTGCCCTTGTAATATGATCTTGCATAGTGCAGAGCATGCAGAATTTCTGACGACGACAGGTTAGAGAATGCTCCTGGGACAGCATGCAGTTGGCAAGGGGTGGTGTGTAGGTCAGACACTGCAGTGCAGCGTTCATGTAGCAGGTGTTTCCCACATTGCAGAGCCCAGCACCAACCCCATAAGGTCTCTTCCACGTCAGCAGAAGTTTGTCCCTGGGAGCTGATTGTTTTGTCCCAGGAGCCTCTTTCGAATAGAGGTCGGGATCTGTCAGGGATAACAATGATGAGTTCTCACTTAGGTAATAACTGGCATCGTCTTTAACATCAAGTGAATTGGGCTGAGAAAGTTTGAGTTTTGGAAAGACATTGAAAGGAGACTCACCTGCCCTGTGGAGTGAAGCAGCCTCCATGTCTCCAGGAGCAATGATTCCAAGGCTTTCCTGCTGGGATCTCAATTCGAAGAAGGACGCTTCCTCTTCAGAGACCGTCTTCAATTGGCAGGTTTGTCTCCACGTCAGCCTTTTTATGACTCAATCCGACTCACCACACCCACTAACTAGGTACAAGGTTCACCAATCAGGTTTAAGCACCTAATTGGATTAGGAGGATTTAGGGCGTGTGCTCTGGAATTCCCCAGATAATCCGATCAGCACCCTCCCCATTACTCTTTGTAGAACACCTGTGGCAGATTGAACTATCAGAATCCTGCATAAATATCCTGAGGGTGGAACAGGGGTCGGGTGGTGGGCATATATTTGTTTTAGCTCTTTTAAAAGAATGGAGGAACATTAGATATTCAATAAGAAGTTAGACTCACGCTTCCTGATTTTAATTCTCACTGCAAAGCTCTAAGACAGAATGGCACTGGTGTGAGATAAGACATAGAGAGCAAGGGAATAGAACAGATGGCCAAGAAACAACTCCTCCTTCTATGGTCAATTGACGTAAATGATTGGTACAAAGGTATCAACACCTTTCAGTGTGGAAAGGATAGTGTTTTCAAAAAATGCTGCTGTGAAACTTAGATATCCACAAAACAATGTAAATTTTCATCGTTACCTAAAACAATATCACAATTTAAACCAAAATTGATGAAAGAGTAAATGTAGAAAATAAAGTATAAGTGATTTAGAAGAAAGGCGGGGCAAGGTGCATCTGGCCTGTAATGCCAGACTCTGGGAGCTGAGGCCAGTGGATCGCTTGAGCTCAGGACATGGAGACCAGCCTGAGTAAGAGGGAGAACCCATCTCTACTAAAAACGTTAATAGTAAAATTAGCCAGGCACGGTGATGTGTGCCTGTAGTCCCAGCTACTCGGGAGGCTGAGGCAGGAGGATCCCTTGAGCCCAGGAGTTTGAGGCTTCAGTGAGCTATGAACTCACCTCTGCACTCAAGCTTGGATGACAAAGTAAGACCTTGTCTCTAAAAAGAGAAAAGAAAAAATCCAAACTAAAGTGAGGAAACTATTTAAATAGACATCTTTCCAAAGAAGATACGCAATGGCCAATAAATCCAGGAGGAGCTGCTGAACATCATTATGTGTGCAGGAAATACAAATCGAATTACCAGGAGATACTGCTCCATTAGTTACTCCTACCCACTCCATTAGGTAGGCTAAGATTACATCCATCAAACAAACCAATCAATCAATGAGAAAATAAGAAGTTTTGGATGTAGGGAAATGGAACTCTTAAGTATTATTACTAGAAATGAGAAAATGATGCAACCCTCATGGAAAACAGTAAGGCCACTCAGTAAAAACGTAAACCTATAATTACTATAGGATTCAGAAACTCCACTTTTATGTATATAAATAAAAGATTAAAACCAGGGATGAAGCATATTTGTAAACAATTGTAGATACTAGCAATATTCACAAAAGCAAAAGGTGGAAACAACTCAAATATCCATCAATAGTTGCATCTATAAACAAAATATGGGATGTGCTTGTGTGTGTTTGTGTGATGTAATATCCTTTAGGCTTAAAAAGAAATGAAAATATTTATTGACACACTGTTAAGGAGGAGATTTGGAAATAAGGTAAGTGTCAACCAAAATGAGAGGGGTTCAAACAGAATGCCCACTGCTTCTACACCAATAGGCAGTAAAAGACCACGAAACGGAACGAGATACATGTGCATCTGTGTGGCCATCTAGAGACTTTTTAGGAGTAATTATTCAAGTCACAAAGCAAGATGAAAAATAAGCCAGGCTATAAAGGACAAATAATTTATAATTCATGTCGCGTGAGTTTTCTAGAGCAGTCACATCCATCGAAAGGAAAATTGTGGTTTGCAAGGGATTCTGGGAGAAAAATGTGGAGTTTCTGTTGAAAGCTGCACAGTTTCAGGTGGGGAAATGAGAAGCTCTGGACAGATGGATAATGGTGATGGTGGAATATCATTGTGAATGTACTTGATGTCACAAAACCATACACTTAAATATAATTAAAATGGTATATTTCCTATTATATATATGTTAGCACAGTAAAAATGCAACGTGCAAACTGAAACAGATATACGTACAAATATTTATTTATTCTTACAAAAATACATATTCTTAACACCATGCAGGGGTACCTATATTTTAAAAAAATACTTCAAAATGGTAAACAACAAAGTAGAGTGAATGGTTTCCAGGGCCACTTAGGTGGGATATAATTGGATTAAGTTGATCAGGTGAGGTCACACCTACAACTGCCCACCCACGGAACTGCATAAAAGTCAGCGTGGACAGGAAGCCTCCCTCAGTGCCCCTGCCCAGGAGTCCTGGAAGCTGCCTCACACCCAGCCGAGATTTTCCAGCATGGACTCAACTCCTCTGAAATCCTACTGACAGCCAGAAGGTGAACCCCTGGATTTCAGGTTTGTATTTTTCACTAATTTTTTCTTCAGATTATACTTCAGAAAAATAGAATTAAAAAAAAGTGATATCGTGGTTTTAGCTTATGGCATAAGGGTTTTTTTTTCTTTTTATTTGTATTTCTTTGAAAAGAGACATAAAATACTCCAGTTTAAATGTCAATTATTTCACAAAAATTCACATTCCTAAGGAAATATACCCAGTCTCCTGACTTTGTAGGTAAACAGATAAACAGTTTTGGAAATCTGGTGGTTTTGGTCATGGACATGTAAACCTTAAATATTTCACGTGTTCTTCATTTCTTCGAACGTATTGATTATGCATTTCTTAGAAACTGCATAAATGGTGTGCTTCTCAAGATAACAGTAATTGAAAGACTGTAGACCATCAACTTCCAGTTTAGTAGGGAAAGAAATAACAATTGCATGTGAATTCGTGTTTGGAAATTACATATTTTAATGTCGAAATGACCATTCAAATTATAATAGCAAATTGTATTTTATTTCTGACTTTCAAATATGTGTGCCCCAGGATTACAGATCCAATTCCCCGTAGCATTGATTGCTTTTTAAGTCCTGAAAAATATTGTCTTTCATTTATCTAATAGAGTAAAATGTGATAGAGCTTAACAAAGTCTCCAGAATCAGCCATTCAAGGGGAAAAATCTAAATTTGTCATTTCTATGTATCTGGTCTAAGGCAGGGCCCTACTCTGGGGGTGGGTAATGAGGGAGAGAAAGATAACACATCAGGGAATGGGAGCCCACTCTGTGAGAAAAAGATTTAAATAAGTGGGTAGATGTCCCTTCAGCACCTCATGGGGAAGAAGGTGCAGAGGGTATTTTTGTAACTATGTAAATATAAAACGCTTTCAACAATTTCTTTTCTTTCTTTCTTTCTTTTTTTTTTTTTTTGTCACTCAGGAGATCCAAATGTCAACACCTGAGGAAGTCTGACTTCCAGCTGCAAGAAGATGAGGCAGATGTCAGGTCACTACCCACAACCTGGGAACCACACACTCAGCAAAGCCCAGACCATGAGCCAGCAGCAGAGGGGACCCGCAGGGCCCAGAGCTCCCCGACCCGAGGAGGAGAATCCCAGGGTAAGTGGAGACGTGGATCTTTGGGGATGAGGGGACACATGGACCTCAGAGTTGGGGACTGATCATAGAAACTTCTCTCATCATAACCCAGTATTTTTTCTCTGGGGCCTCCTAACTGGGCAGGTGGATCCATCACAGACTCTGAGGAGCGAACTCGCTTCCCAGTTAGTTCATGTGCAGCCAGGATCTTCACCTGGTGTTGAAATCTGGTTCATGGTCCCCACTCCTAGAACCTTCACTCTCTCTTCCTACTGTCCTTCCTAACATGGGCTTTGGGTTATGACCTTCTGTCTTGAATATCCTGGCACGTAACCTTCCACTTGTCCAGGTCCCCTCCCTAAAAGCAATATTCAGCCCTGAATGGAAAATCTGTCCTTCCATTGCCCTTGGGCGGCTGCCTGTGAGTGCTGCTGACTCACTCGCTGACCACTGTCCTTGTTCCCCCACAGGCGAAGTGCAAGGACTGTGGGGCCTTTGGACACACGGCCAGAAGCACCAGGTGCCCCATGAAGCGCTGGAATGGAGCCCTGGCGCCACAGCCCTTGGGCCCCAATCGGGGGAAGGAGAACCTCGCACCACGGAAGCCCCAGAATCTCCAGATCCCAGTGGCCCTCAACCAGAGTGAGAGGGAGAAGGAGCAGAGAGCAAGGTGAGCGTGTGGGAGGTGTAGCCGCTGCCTGGGCACCGAAACCCCAGGAGGAGGTGTCTCTCTGCCTCACCCCACGTGCACAGCCTTGTCCAGGCAAGGACAGAAACACTGGGGAGAAAGAGACAGGAGGTCCCTGTCCTGCAGGTCTCCTGCCCCAGGAGCTCATTCTACTCCTGGGGATTCAGTAAGGGGGAGGGCCAGGGCAGCTGTTGAGATCTTGCACAGGACAGGCAGAAAGGGCGTGGAGTCTCTAAGTGAAAGTCCTTAGTGGGAAAACCTGGAGGGCTGCCTGGAGTAGGGGAGGGATCTGACACGAGGGAAGGGGCAGATTTAGCCCAGGTCACGGGGCTTCAACACCTGTGTCACATCCAAACACTCAATGGGACCCGACCCCAAAAATGTTTCTCCCCTGTGTGGACAGGAAATCAGTGGGTTTTATTCACACTGTTTGTTCTGCAGGCAGGAGCAGCAGCAGAGGAAGGCTGTCTTCCAGACGTTTCCCAGGAGACCCCAAGGGGGGCAGCAGCAGGACTGGAAGGAACTGCCCGAACCTTGTGCCTACCTGAGGGTGAGTGTGCCCCTGGCCCCTGCTCCTTTTCTCTGCGGGGTACCCCTGCTGTGTGTCTTTCCAGACCCTGCTGTGTGTTAAAATTCTAGTCCTTGCCCCTCTGTGTGAAGAATTAGTTTATAGTACTCTCAGGCCAATATTATTCCTTTCTTTATACTTTTGAGGTTCCATTTCGCCCTTTTCTGTGTTTTAGTAAGATTATTTGCAGGCCTGCTAACGATATTCCTGGAG